TGTCTGGGGAACTGAAGGGCCTTTTGCCTGAAACCCCTGCCTGCCAAGTGCTGGTTGGAGGTGGGGCATGGGAGTCTGGAGGGGTGGGATTGTACAGGAGGGGAGAGGAAGGAGTGGGTGTGTCAAGGGAGCAGACAGCTTGTGATAAGGGCAGGGGTGACTGCACTGGGGACTGGACCTCTGTGGGTGCAGTAAACTTGGGGAGGATGCTGGGGTTGGGTCTCTCAGGGAGTTGGGGTGCCTGGGGGTGGGGTGCACATGGGGGGGCCATGGTGGGAGCAGGCAGGGGGCCAGGCGCAGGGCAGGGGAAGGAGGTTGAATCTGGGGTGGGGCTATTAGAGGCAGTGAGCATGTAGGGGGCATGGAGCATGTATGTCAGGGGAAGGTGGGCACTGGCCTGCTCTCCTCCCATCCTCCCAGCACAACCATCTCTCTCTCTTTCTGCAGGGAATCGAAGGCCCTCGAGGTCTCCCTGGCACACGGGTGAGTACCCATTCCTGTTGCTTGGTGCCCACCTGCAGCCCCCTCCCCAGACTCCAGACCCCTTGACTTGTGCTACCTTCTCTACAGGGCGACCCTGGAGACAGAGGCTCCACGGGGGAGAAGGTAAGAGAGCCTCTTTGGTGCACTGCAGGGAGCTCTGCCATGGCCCAGCCCCATGTCAGGGTGGGGTGATACAGCTTGGTTCAGTATCAGAGCCTGGCTGGAGGACACAGAGCAGGCAGGGCTCATGCGACTGAGGGGGAGGAAGGGAGGGGTGGACAGGCATGCAGCTGGAGTGCCAGGAACTGGTCTGCCCTACTGTGGCTGCAGAAGAGCCCCCAAGCCTGGGAGAGGAGGTGTCTGGAGACCAGGATGACGTATGGAGGGGTCAGAGCACAGGGCACCAGCTTGGACTGGGGGTAGTGTGGAGGGAGAAGAGTGCCTGGGTCAAGGTGAGGAGTGGGTTGGCATTTGGGTAGTGAGGAGAGCAGGCTGTGGAGGGGCCAGAGACTGGGCAGGGCTGTGCAGTGGCCAAGGAGTCAGAGCAGGGGGGAGGGGCAGGGGCAGTGTCCTCGCTCCTGGAGACCCAGTTGTCTGTTCCAAGCTGAGTCCCAGGCAAATGTGGCCTCTGGAAGCAGCTCAGAGGTGAGCAGGCACATTCCCAACCAGTCTCAGGGGCCCCAATGCCTGCGGCTGGCTGGACCAGGAGGAGGAGGTGGGCTGACATGGGGCCAGGCAGGGGTTGTGTTGGGAGGGTGTTGCCCAGGCTCCTGCCACCTTGACATACCCCTGTTGTTCCTCCAGCCTGGTCACTGATGCCCATACTCCACTAGATCCTGTGCTGGGCTTTGGGGGTCCCCAGCCAGGGCTCTCAGGGGAACAGGGAAGGCCTCAGTGTAAAGTCTTCCCTTTCTGCTCTCTTGCAGGGAGAGCGAGGCCCCCCAGGGCTGGATGGCCGGAATGGGTTGGATGGCAAACCCGGGCAGATGGGCCCCACGGGGCTGAGGGTAAGTGTGGCCTGGCCTGGGTATTTCTCCACAGCAAGGCTGCCCCTTGGCATCCCCCACAGGCAGAGCCACTGGCCAGAGACAGCTAGGTCCCATGAGGCACATGTACACCCAGTAGTGTGATGTACCCCAGTGGCAAGGCCAGCAGGTGCCCAGAACACTCCAGGGGGCTCCTGGGCTGTCTATAGCTGGAGCTGCTGCCCCCACTGTGAGGGTTGCTGCAGGAAGAGGGAGAAAGCATTGCCCTATGGAGCAATTCTTAATCCTGCTGGTGCCCCTGCAGCCAACCCTGAGGATGGGGGTACCTTGGTTTCTGGGACACTCCCACCTGCTTTTGGCCAAGGGTCTCTGTCAGTGCTGGCTGTGCTAGTGGCATGATGCTGCAGGGACTATTGGTGCCTGTGGCGTCAGCTACCATAGAGCCCATCAGGTAGCCTGAGCCAGGTTGGAGCTCGTCTCTTGCTGCTGTCAGGTCCTTGAAATGTGCCAGGCCTGTCTGGAGCCTGCAGACAGGAGCATTTGTGCCTCAGACTCCAGGCTGAGCCCTGCCTCGCTGATCAGCACCTCATTCTCCTCTGTTCTTCTAGGGTGACCCTGGCAAGCAGGGGGATCCTGGCCGAGATGTAAGTACTCTAGAGCTGCAGGGTGCTGGGGTACACATGGCTCAAACTCTCCTGCCTTTCCTATAGGACCTCCTCCCTCCCCCCAAGTCTGCTGCATGAGGCTGCCAGGAGCAGGCACAGGGGTCACCAGGGTACAGCTTTGGCCCTCTCCCGATCAGACTGGGGTTTCCTCTAGTCCCAGGTACTTCCTCTGGTGCTTTGCTGTGTGGTGAACTCCTGAGTGTGGTGGAGATCCCTGCCCTGCAGAGACCCCAGCTCCTGCTCCCTTGACTCCCTTCACCACTCACCCTGTGGGCATTGCTGGCTTGGTAGGGCTGCTGCTTCTCTTCTCCCTTTTCTGTGCAGCTGCTGTCTCCTGTCCAGGAGGGGCTGGGGGAGCTGCCTTACTCCATGACCTGCCTGTCATCTGTTGTATTCTCCCTGTAGGGACTGCCTGGCCTGCGGGGGGAGCAGGGCCCTCCAGGAGCTCTCGGCCCTACGGGACCACCAGGCCTGCCTGTAAGTAGACTGAGTGGGTTTCCCACCCCCTTGAGCTGTGCTTCCACCCTGGGAGGCTCTCAGGTCACTCCCTCTCTGCCCTGCTCCTCACCAGGGGCTTGGCCATGAAGCTGCTGCTCCTTCCCACCCTTGCTTCCTCCCTCCTCACTCCTGCTGTTACTACTAGGATTCTTTTTGCCAGAGACCCCCAAGGATTGACACGGCCCCTTGTCTGATTTGGTATCAGTGAACTTTAACAGTAACCCCTATGCTTTATTACAAGCTTCCTCTTTATACTACAACCTGGCAAGCGGTTCGTTTAGACATTACACCAGCGATTTTCAGTGATACTGGCCTCAGATCCTCTGCTGTGTGTGTAGGATGTTAGCTTCTGTATTCCTCATTGTTCAAACAAGAATTCCAAGGTTGCTCCTGTCTCCCCAGGGTGACAACACAAAACACACATGTTCCTTTGTTTGTCCGTCACTTTTGTAATTTTTCCCATTCCAAATTGTCCAATCCCCTGGCTCTGTGCCAATTGTTCCTTATATGGTGCACCAATCCCCTGGCACTGTGCCAGCCATATTCCTCAGAGAGGTTCCCTGCTGCTTCCCAGGGTATCTGGAAGGCCCCTGGCTCAGCTGACAGTTTGCATTTTCCTCTAGGGCAAATCTGGAGATGACGGAAAACCTGGTCTGAATGGGAAGAATGTGAGTAATGGACCCAGCCCCACAGGAGAAGGGAGATGCAGACTGGGGCATGGACAGGCCTTCCTCCTGCTGCCCTGAGCTCCAGCCAGCACCCCCACTTCCACCTGGCTTGGTCCTGACTGGCCTCAGCTTCTCTTGCGCCAGGCCTAGGTGGAAGCGTGAGGTTCCTCCAGGAAGCCGTGTGATGCCCCACTGCGCGTGTCTGAGCTGGGACCTCCCCTGCCCCTGCCTGTAGCCCATGTGGTACAGAGCTTTGACTGCTGCTTCTTGTCCTCCAGGGAGAAGACGGGACCCCAGGAGAAGATGGAAGGAAGGTAATGAACACGGGGACCTCCTTCCCCAGGCAGATATGGGCATGGTCCAGCATGTGGGGTCCCTGGGGGGGACAGATGCCCCCAGCCTCCGCCAGGCCCATCGTATCATGTGTGTCCCTCTCAGGTGGGGAGGGCTCTTTCTCCTTTGAACAACTACTTCCCTGGGGCCAGTGTTGTAGGCAAGAGGGCAAGTTTAGGGTCTGGTGCTCCTTCCTGCCCCCTTGGACTTTGGGCTGGCTCCAGTGGCAGCATGGTGGGAGCCAGACCCTGTGGTGCAAATACCAGGCTGGTCAGGATTTGTGAGGTGGGCTGGGGCCCTGCTGGCAGCACCTGGCTGTATTGTTTTCAAGTGTTCCTAAGCTGCTTTCTCTTGGCTTTTCCTGACTAGGGGGACAAGGGAGAAGCTGGTGCTCCTGGCAGAGATGTAAGTGCTCTCCATTCCCTGCCCTTCCTCCCAGCTGGGTCAGGCTTGGCTCAGTTGTGAACTCCACCTACCCCCTCAATGCTTGGTGCAGGGCCTCCCAGAGTTGCCCATTATACTCCCTTGTCCTGAATACATATGATTAATGGCCCTTTTTCATTGTTGCCCATTGCAGTCAGCTATGCCACTGGTCTGGAGCCAGTTGCAGGCCCAAGAGCAGTGAGGATGTGTCTGTGCTCTTCCAGCTCTGCACATCTTGCCAGATCACCACCCACTGTCTGTCCCAGATCCCCTCCAGATTCAAGTTAACTCACAATCCGCTCCAGGATGCTTTGCACCTCCCTGTGAACTTCCTTTCACAGTGTGGGAGGGCTAGTCTTGGCCCAAGCAGGGAGGCATACTCTAGTGCTCCCTGGCTTCTGGCCTGGTCACTGCAGGCATTTTCAGAATCAAAAGTGAATGCGTGTTCACTTGCTTACCAGTTCAATCTATGCAGTTTAGGGCATGTGTAGATGAAACAGGGGCCCTAAATTCAAGTGATGGATTTTAAAAAACACTGCTTCA